AGCAGGAAGAGCTGGTGCCCCAACCCCCCCCGGCCTGCCTCCCCTGTAGCGAATGTGCAGGGACGTAGGCCAAGCACTTACTCCTTCCTCCTCTCTCCTGTATCCCTGGTTTCCACCCACTGTGTTTAAACAGCGGGGGACCCCTACATGGCTCTCCCAACTCATCATGTGGCGTCCAAGCAAGGCTGAGGGGAACTACGGTGGAGTCTCTTAACATTTTGAGCGTGGTGTTGGCATCTCCAGGGCAGTGACCTGCCTGCTGGAGTGTGTCTAGAACTGCCCACATCCAGCACCTTCGAGCGGAGACATCTCCTTATGCTACTGTCAAGGACAGGTTGGGAAGAGGGTTTGTTCCCTCCTGTTCCTTCGCAGCCTCAGAGAAGAGCTCCAGACAGGCAGGACAAGGAAAACCTCGTGGTCTACACAGGTCTGGATACTGCTCTGCATGACCCAGAGGACTAGCCTTCCTCGCAACCAGACATAATCCACAGGCCTTGTATCTTATGATGCTTGCATACAAGAGCAGCAGCAGCTTTGCTACCGCAGCCGGTCCTTGGAAAGTGCTTTGTGCCAGAGCTGCCAAGAGGATCGTGATGGCTTTCAAAAGGGAGAACACGCAGTGGAAATTCCCTGTCTGGGAGAAGGCCTCCCAGCGAACTAACGCTGGGAAAGTGACACTGGAAAGAAGGTGGCAGCCCTCTCAGTAAAATACCCACATGGGTGCTTCGCAGTGTCATGGAGTGCTTTGTGGCAAGAGTCCACCTGCCAGATCCAAAACGTTGTCAACACCTGCTGTTCTGTGAGCTGCTCCTCACTGTTCGATGCTGCCATGGAGAACAACCTCGCCCTGGGAGCCCCAGGAGCAGTGGCTGTGCCCTGCAAAGGAGGAGCACCGTCACCCCCTCCACTCCAATGAGCTTTTGGGTCTTGCCATGATTTGGGTCTAGGACTCCAGCCCTCTAGCTTTGAAGCTGGAGTAGGACCTGGGACCTGGCCTGCTTCCAAACGACCTGCACTGGCTCTGTAGGAATGGTCTTTCCAAGATCTCTGCAGTAACAAGACCTGGCAGAGGTCTTCTCAGACCTGGCTTTTTTTTTTTTTTTCATGTGACCAGATGCAAGAGTTTTTTAGCCTGCAAGAGAAATCCTTAGTACAAGCTTGCTTCCAACGTCTAAGAGGATAACGCAGCAATTGAATGCTACAAGCAGGGCTGTAATCACTTTGTTAGTCCTGGGAGAGATGCCATAACTCATGTTTAGTCCTGCTGGAACTAGGTCTGCATCCCACTTCCATATTACAAAATAATAGGAAAACAGATGTCTTGTGAGTTCTTCTGGGGCCAGAAACACTTGTGGGACTTTTGCCTGTAAACTAATAGCTACCAAGGGACTGACTCATTCAGGAGACGGGCATCTTTATTATAGGTTTCCTGCGGAATTGACTTAAAAGCAAAAAGAAAAAAAAAAGAGCAAGAGCTGAGCAAAGCAAAGTCGTTTCTGCATCTCAAAGATCTGCAGAGTCTCGTTTCCATCCTAGGAAAAGCTTTTCTCCTCAGCGAGGGAGCGAGCCCAGGGAAGCCCACGCCGTCAGTCTCAGCTCTGACTTGGTCCGTGCGCCTG